TAGGAAAAGGAAGAGAGATAGTATTAGTTATGATGGTCCATCATTTTCTATTCTTACTCCTACTCCTCCAAGTACACAAATGAGCATTGATGAGGGTTTGTCTATAGAGGTTGAAGGAAATATTGAAGAAGAGCTTGGTCGAGGTAAAAGGAATAAGAAGCTTAATTGGCAGTTGAAATCCCCTTTTGAACAGGAAAGAAAAACAGGAACATCAATGGTGCACAATGAAAATACTCCCAAGAAAATGGGCTGGATAAAATCAAAATATACCCGTACATGTATTTTTCATTATGCCAAAGATGATTCAAAATAATTGAAGAATTTCATTGTGTGGTTGGGCAAGGAGAAAAGGAAAGGTCGCAAAAAAGCGTAAGTCCCTAAATGTATTTCATTATTTATTAATTACTTAAATTCGTGTCCTTAACTTGTAATTTTAAATTTAGGATTAAGTATATTGATATTGAAATTCCTAAAGTTAAGTGTCCTTAACTTTTGAATTTGGAAATCAAAGTTAAGAACAAAGTGTCCTTAACTTTTCAACTTGGAATTCAAAGTTACTTTTCAACTTGTAAGTCAAAGTTCAGGACCATGTGTCCTTAACTTTTGAACTTGTAAGTCTAAGTTCAGGACCAAGTGTCCTTAACTTTTGAACTTGGAACTTGAAGTTCAGGACCAAGTGTCCTTAACTTTTCAACTTAAAACTTGAAGTTCAGGACCGAGTGTCATTAACATTTCAAATTGAAACTCAAACTTCAGGACCAAGTGTCCTCAACTTTTGAAGTTGGAACTATAAGTTAAGGACTGCCTGTCCTTAACTTTTATACTTGTTAGTCTAAGTTAAGGACAAAGTGTCCTGAACCTTGAACTTGTAAGTCATGTGTCCTTAACTTTTGAACTTGAAACTCAAACTTCAGGACCAAGTGTCCTTAACTTTTGAACTTGAAACTCAAACTTCAGGACCAAGTGTCCTTAACTTTTCAACTTGTAAGTCAAAGTTCAGGACCATGTGTCCTTAACTTTTGAACTTGTAAGTCTAAGTTCAGGACCAAGTGTCCTCAACTTTTGAAGTTGAAAGTCTAAGTTCAGGACCAAGTGTCCTTAACTTTTGAACTTGGAACTTGAAGTTCAGGACCAAGTGTCCTTAACTTTTCAACTTAAAACTTGAAGTTCAGGACCAAGTGTCCTTAACATTTCAAATTGAAACTCAAACTTCAGGACCAAGTGTCCTCAACTTTTGAAGTTGGAACTATAAGTTAAGGACTGCCTGTTCTTAACTTTTATACTTGTTAGTCTAAGTTAAGGACCAAGTGTCCTCAACTTTTGAAGTTGAAAGTCTAAGTTCAGGACCAAGTGTCCTTAACTTTTGAACTTGGAACTTGAAGTTCAGGACCAAGTGNTTGTAAATATTTTGCAGAATCTTGTGAACTTGCAATTGAAGAACATGGAGAAAAGTTTCAAGATAAAGAAAATGTGCAGTTGGAAGATAAAGAAATGCAAACAATATATCAGCTCAATTCTCTGTTGAAAAAATACAAGAAGGCAGTGTGAAAAAGACAGGTATTGATTGTGTCCTAAATATTATATTCATAATTGAAAATGCCAGTACATGTCAAAAATAATGTTCTTAGTTTTTGTCTCTTCATTTGACGACTTGCAACAAACTAATTTATATATATAGTGTTGTCTGCAGAGCAAAACAAAAATGAGGATCTTAACCAATATACTAGGAAAAGGAAGAGAGATAGTATTGGTTATGATGATCCATCATTTTCTATTCTTACTCCTACTCCTCCAAGTACACAAATGAGAATTGATGAGGGTTTGTCTATGGAGGTTGAAGGAAATGTTGAAGAAGAGCTTGGTCGAGGTAAAAGGAATAAGAAGCTTAGTTGGCAGTTGAAATCTCCTTTTGAACAGGAAAGAAAAACAGGAACATCAATGGCGCACAATGAAAATACTCCCAAGAAAACAGGCTGGATAAAATCAAAATATACCCATACATGTATTTTTCATTATGCCAAAGATGATTCAAAATTATTGAAGAATTTCATTGTGTGGTTGGGCAAGGAGAAAAGGAAAGGTCGCAAAAAAGCGTAAGTCCCTAAATGTATTTTATGATTTGGTAATTACTTAAATTCGTGTCCTTAACTTGTAATTTTAAATTTAGGACTAAGTATATTGATATTGAAATTCCTAAAGTTAAGTGTCCTTAACTTTTGAATTTGGAAATCAAAATTAAGGACCAAGTGTCCTTAACTTTTCAACTTGGAATTCAAAGTTCAGGACCAAGTGTCCTGAACTTTACAACTTGTAAGTCAAAGTTCTGGACTATGTATCCTTAACTTTTGAACTTGTAAGCCTAAGTTCAGGACCAAGTGTCCTCAACTTTTGATCTTGAAACTCAAACTTCGGAACCAAGTGTCCTTAACTTTTGAACTTGGAACTTGAAGTTCAGGACCAAGTGTCCTTAACTTTTCAACTAAAAACTTGAAGTTAAGGACCAAGTGTCCTTAGCATTTCAAATTGAAGCTCAAACTTCAGGACCAAGTTTCCTCAATTTTTGAAGTTGGAACTATAAGTTAAGGACTGCTTGTCCTTAACTTTTATATTTGTTAGTCTAAGTTAAGGACAAAGTGTCCTGAACTTTTGAACTTGTAAGTCTAAGTTCAGGACCATGTGTCCTTAACTTTTGAACTTGAAACTCAAACTTATGGACCAAGTGTCCTTAACTTTTGAACTTGAAACTCGAACTTCAGGACCAAGTGTCCTTAACTTTTCAACTTGAAAGTCTATGTTCAGGACTAACTTCTAACTTTGATATTTTCAAAATTTTCAGGGGAGAAACTGATATATATGCTGATGATAATGGTGTGAGAAAGAATCCTTACAAATTGTATCATCAAAATATCAGTAGCAAAATGTTCTTCCTTGAGCTTTCAGATAGTAGCTTTGTACTTGATGATAAGGTTTGATAATTCGTAAGGCATTTATTTTCTTTATTCTTAATTTATTATTTTTTAATTATTTTATGACTGATGGATTTATTTTATTTTTTGCCTTTTTATGAAGCATATTGACATGCCCTATATTACCTGAGAAAGAAGGAATGCTACCACCCTCGCGACCATCCTTTTCGTTGCACAACTAAAGATATACTTTTTGATAACTATATGGTCCTTGTGTATAAGGGTTTCAATGAAGATGCTGCAGATGAGTTTTGGTGTGGTGATAATCAATTGTTTCTAACACCATATGTGTGGCGCGACAGTCGTAGATGTGGAATTGCTTGGACAGAGGTTGACAAAATTTTTTTTCCATGTCGGCTTCCTTCAGAAGATGATAATGCTGTGACACATTTTCTTTTGGGGGTATTGGACTTGAATGAGAAGAAGATTGATATGTACGATTCCATATATAGTGAGCCATATGAGGCAGGAATTAATCACATTGAAATGTATGCACGCATGATCCCCCACTTGTTAAAGTTCTCACAGTTTTAGAAACATCACAAGTCTTTTGGAAATGCATTCAACAAATTTGATATTCAGTGGAAAAGATCACCTCACCAAACTGGATCGTACGTGTTGTTATTTGTTATATAATTTATATGTACTTTAGATTTATTGTTTAATTGACTCCATATCTTACATCTTTCTTAGGATTGATTGTGGTGCATTCCTAATCAAGTATGTGGAGTTGTTGATGATGGGAAAGGATGTGGAGAAATTCCAACCTGAAGACATAAAAGACTTTAGAAAAGAACTTGCAGCAAATCTTTGGGCAAATGGAGAGTGGAAAAGAAATTCTGGTTATGATACACCACCAGAAAATGTTGGCGATGACTATGATAGTGAAAATGAAACTTGCTGTCCGAAGGAGCTGTAGTTTAGTTGTGAAGAAAGTTAGCTGTGGTTGATTTTTTGTATAAAATTGCTGTAAAGAATCCATATGAATTCTGAAATATCTTGTAAATTCCTCAAAAGGCACTTTTATTTTGTTTGCATTGCATAATTTTTTTTGTCACAACTATGTAAAATTACAATTTCAGAAGTAATATGAAGGCATCATGTAATTAATTTCTTTGTTTCTGTCAAGTATTGATTTGTCCATTGAGCTTGTAAGTATTAGTTCAGGACCAAGTGTAATTGAACTTCAACTTCAATGTTAAGGACCAAGTGTCCTTAACTTTTGAACTTGAAACTGAAACTTCAGGACCAAGTGTCCTTAACTTTTTAACTTGAAATTCAAACTTCAAGACCAAGTGTCCTTAACTTTTGAACTTGAAAGTCTAAGTTAAGGAATATGTGTCCTCAACTTTTGATATTGAATCCTTAACTTTTGAACTTGGAACTCAAACTTCAGGACAAAGTGTCCTTATTTTTTTACTTGGAACTGTAAGTTAAGGACCAAGTGTCCTTAACTTCTCAACTTGTAAGTTAAAGTTAAGGACTGCCTGTCCCTAACTTTTGAACTTGAAACTCAAAGTTAAGGACTGACAGTCCTTAACTTTTGAACTTTGAACTCAAAGTTAAGGACTGCCTGTCCTTAACTTTTGAACCTGTAAGTCAAAGTTAAGGACTGCCTGTCCTTAACTTTTGAACCTGTAAGTCAAACTTAAGGACCGTCTGTCCTTAACTTTTGAACTTTGAACTCAAAGTTAAGGACTGTTTGTCTTTAACTTTTGAACTTGTAAGTCAAAGTTAAGGTCAGACATTCCTTAACTTTTGAACTTTGAACTCAAAGTTAAGGACTGATGCCCTTAACTTTTGAACCTGTAAGTCAAACTTAAGGACTGCCTGTCCTTAACTTTTGAACCTGTAAGTCAAACTTAAGGACTGTCTGTCCTTAACTTTTGAACTTTGAACTCAAAAGAAACAAAAAGAACGTAAGCAGAAAGAAATTTTGAAAATTCAGACATCTGCTCAAATAAGAATAATCTAAGTGAATCCAATTTATAGCAAAAACTTAAAATAGTCGATAAACATAAGTGGATATATGTACTATTCTCTATGCTTTCTTGAAAATGGATGGACTGCCGGAGAATGTATACAAGTTGTTCTATTATGACCAATTCTTCTGCAACGACCATATTTGAATGTTATTTTTGATGACTCGGTAGCTGGAATATGCCTTTTCTTCTGCCTTCTACCTGGTGGCACTTTGAAATCTGGAGGTTTAACAATTTGTGACTTAACACTCTCTGGTACAATCCAAGAATCAGTATGTCCTACAGGATGTATTTGTCTTTCATATGTTTTTAGCCAAGATTCTTTTAATACCAGTGCGAGCAAAAGTTGGACTTCTTGATGTTTCTCTTCTCGATAGCTGCAATTGCATGTATGCATGGTAATTCATCAAATTGAAACTGAAAACAATCACATGTTCTTTTGTTTAAGTCCACCAAGAAAGTTATTCCTTCTTCTTCAACTCTAGAACGCCATGAATCAACAAGGAAGACCTTCAAAGTTGAAAAATTATAAGTTAGTACATTATGTTAAATTATATTAAAATATAACCTAAACATAGAATATAATACTTACATTCAATGTAAATGCTAAATCTATCTTTTTTTTCAATTCCTCCTCTACCCAACAAGAAACATCATAAAAAGTTCCTTCTGCTTCATTTCTTCTTTCATAAAACCAACGGTGTAGCTTCACTTGAATGAAATCCATCATTCTTAATATAGGCGGCTCCCTTGCTTCTAATAGGACAGAATTTATTGACTCAACTATGTTCGTTGTGAGCATGTCATATCTTCGTCGTGGACTACAAGAACGTGCCCACCTTTCTGGTGGTTCTTCCATCAAGTAGTCATAAGTCTTCTTATCTACTTTTGCTATATCTGACATGTAAAGATCAAATTCTTTGCGCCTGTATACTCTTGCAGTTGTTTGAAAAAGTTTTATGACCTCACTTTTCACTTTTCTTCGCTTTAGGTTCTGCTCCAAATGATAGATACAAATCCCATGGTGGCTTTCAGGATATACCTTTGTGATGGCATATGCAATAGCTTGATGCCTGTCTGATAAAAAAATTAAATTCTCACGGCTCCCAATTGCATTGCGAAGCTCACTATAGTACCACTCATAAGAATTGTTATTTTCAGATTCTGCTATTCCAAAGGCTAGTGGAAAAATTTGGTTATTTGCATCCTTTGAAACTGAAATCATTAAAACACTATGAAATTTTAACTTCAAAAAAGTTGCATCAACAGCAATCACTGGTCTACAATGATTCCAACCAGATATTGATGATCCATATGCATAAAACATATAAAGAAACCTGAAAATACAGTATAAAACAAGGTTAACAGAAGTTAAGGACAGACAGTCCTTAACTTATACTACCAAGGTCAAAAGTTAAGGACAGGTAGTCCTGAAGTTCAGGTAACAAGGCCAAAAGTTAAGGACAAGTAGTCCTGAAGTTATACTAACAAGGTCAAAAGTTAAGGACAGGCAGTCCTTAACTTAGAGTTACAAGTTATAAAGTTAAGGACATGCAGTCCTTAACTTTGAGTTACAAGTTATAAAGTTAAGGACATGCAGTCCTTAACTTTGAGTTCAAAGTTCAAAATTTAAGGACATGGAGTCCTTAACTTAGACTAACAAGGTCAAAAGTTAAGGTCACCATGTCCTTAATTTTATAACTTGCAATTCTAAGTTAAGGACCAAATGTCCTTAACTTTTTGACTGCACACATGAAAGTTAAGGACAGGACGTCCTTAACTTTTTAACTGGTTAAAGACAGCATGTCCTAATGTTTATAAAACAGACTAATAAATTCTTTTTGATTGTTTACCTGTTGTTGTCATCTATCTTTATGTTAGTATATGTTACCGGGTTTTTACTTCTCATCATATACAAGTATGAAGATAATAATTCATAATTCTCTTCAGGAGTTCCTCTTATTAAAGCAGAAGCACATTGAATAGCACGCCACGCCTTGTGATACCCAATGTCTAGTCCATGCAATTTTTGCATTTCTGCCATGACAAAAGCTGGTGTAACTTCAAACCTTGGGTCTCGAAGATTGTCGATAATGTAACCACTAATCAACTTTGAAGTTGCATGCCTTTGATCAGCTTTCATAGTGTTAGCAGAGCAGTCATGATATTTCTCAATCTTTACTATCTTGAACAGTGTTGAATCTTTAATTCTGAAAGCACGCACACACCACCCACACCTATCATCATTGCATTTCAACGAATATCTTGTTGAGCTTGATCTAACAACCTTGAATTCAAAATGTCCTTTAATTGCTATATTCGAAAAACAGTTAATTATACTCTTCTTTTTGTCAAATATTGATCCCACTTTTATTTCATTCAACAAAGCATTTTCTCTTAATATCGTAGTTGGGGATTCTTTTTTTTTTTCAAATTTGACCTTCGTCTAGTTAGTTGAGTAGAGGTTTTTTCAACAACTTCTTCGATTACCGGTGCAGTCTCTAAGACTTGAATATCCAAAGCTTGTTCGTTGTCAATCTCTATAATGCTTTGTCCTTCTACTTGAATAGAATCAGATATTTGAAGCGCCTCTTCAGTTATTGGTTGAGCTTCAACCATATCTATTTCCATTATCTGTTTGCATTTGTTTTGATTGTCATGTTGAGTTTCTCTGTTGACCTGTTCAAAGGCACTTGTTGATCCACAAACTCTTTCCGAAATATCAACAATGAAACGACAGCCCTTGAAGAGTGAATGACTTTTTAGTAACTCAATACATGTGTGAAGATCTAAATCTTTGGATACAAGCATTCCCTTGCTTGTTCCAAGGTTGATATCAAACCATATCACTTCTTCAAACTTGTCTGTACCCAATTCAATAACTTCAAACATCTATTTAATGAAATCTTGAAACTGAATTGCCTCAGGTACTAGAACAAGCTTTGGTTGATGATCAAGATACTTATAGTCTTCAGTCCATCTACCATTAAAAGCAACTATAATGCATATTGTTTCCATCCTACAAGTCAAGAGAATGGGAAACTCAGGACATATTTTATAGAGCAATCCTTGTATAATTAAGAACAAGTACTGTAAATTCAAGACCAAGTTAAGGACCAAGTGTCCTTAACTTTTGAACTTGGTGTTCAAAGTTAAGGACCAACTGTCCTTAGCTTTTTAACTTGGAAATCAAAGTTAATGACCAGGTGTCCTTAACTTTTGAACTTGGAAAACAAACTGCAGGAACAAGTGTCCTTAACTTTTGAATTTGAAACTTGAAGTTAAGGACTGCCTGTCCTTAACTTTTGAACATGTTAGTCAAAGTTCAGGACCAAGTGTCCTTAACTTTTCAACTTCAAACTCAAACTTCAGGACGTAGTGTCCTTAACTTTTGAATTTGAAACTTGAAGTTAAGGACTGCCGTGTCCTTAACTTTTGAATTTGAAACTTGAAGTTAAGGACTGCCTGTCCTTAACTTTTGAACATGTAAGTCAAAGTTCAGGACCACTTCAAACTCAAACTTCAGGACGTAGTGTCCTTAACTTTTGAATTTGAAACTTGAAGTTAAGGACTGCCTGTCCTTAACTTTTGAACATGTTAGTCAAAGTTAAGGACACTTGTTCCTGCAGTNTGTGTCCTTAACTTTTGAACTTGTAAGTCTAAGTTCAGGACCAAGTGTCCTCAACTTTTGAAGTTGAAAGTTTAAGTTCAGGACCAAGTGTCCTTAACTTTTGAACTTGGAACTTGAAGTTCAGGACCAAGTGTCCTTAACTTTTCAACTTAAAACTTGAAGTTCAGGACCAAGTGTCCTTAACATTTCAAATTGAAACTCAAACTTCAGGACCAAGTGTCTCAACTTTTGAAGTTGGAACTATAAGTTAAGGACTGCATGTCCTTAACTTTTATACTTGTTAGTCTAAGTTAAGGACAAAGTGTCCTGAACTTTGAACTTGTAAGTCTAAGTTCGGGACCATGTGTCCTTAAATTTTGAACTTGAAACTCAAACTTCAGGACCATGTGTCCTTAACTTTTGAACTTGAAACTCAAACTTCAGGACCAAGTGTCCTTAACTTTTCAACTTGAAAGTCTAAGTTCAGGACTACCTTCTAACTTTGATATTTTCAAAATTTTCAGGGGAGAAACTGATATATATGCTGATGATAATGGTGTGAGAAAGAATCCATACAAATTGTATCATCAAAATATCAGTAGCAAAATGTTCTTCCTTGAGCTTTCAGGTAGTAGCTTTGAACTTGATGATAAGGTTTGATAATTCGCAAGGCATTTATTTTCTTTATTCTTAATTTATTGTTTTTTAATTATTATATGACTGATGGATTTATTTTATTTTTTTCCTTTTTATGAAGCATATTGACATTGCCCTATATTATCTGAGAAAGAAGGAATGCTACCACCCTCGCGACCATCCTTTTCGTTGCACAACTACAGATATACTTTTTGATAACTATATGGTGCTTGTGTATAAGGATTTCAATAAAGATGTTGCAGATGAGTTTTCGTGGGGTGATAATCAATTGTTTCTAACACCATATGTGTGGGGCGACAGTCGTAGATGTGGAATTGCTTGGACAGAGGTTGACAAAATCTTTTTTCCATGTCGGCTTCCTTCAGAAGATGATAATGATGTGACACATTTTCTTTTGGGGGTATTGGACTTGAATGAGAAAAAGATTAATGTGTATGATTCCATATATAGTGAGCCATATGAGGCAGGAATGAATCACATTGAAATGTATGCACGCATGATCCCCCAGTTGTTAAAGTCCTCACAGTTTGAGAAACATCACAATTCTTTTGGAAATGCATTCAACAAATTTGATATTCAGTGGCAAAGATCACCATACCAAACTGGATCGTACGTGTTGTTATTTGTTATATAATTTATATGTACTTTAGATTTATTGTTTAGTTGACTCCATATCTTACATCTTTCTTAGGACTGATTGTGGTGCATTCCTAATCAAGTATGTGGAGTTGTTGATGATGGGAAAGGATGTGGAGAAATTCCAACCTGAAGACATAAAAGACTTTAGAAAAGAACTTGCAGCAAATCTTTGGGCACATGGAAAGTGGAAAAAAATTCTGGTTATGATACACCACCAGAAAATATTGGCGATGACTATGATAGTGAAAATGAAACTTGTTGTCCGAAGGAGCTGTAGTTAGTTGTAAAGAAAGTTAGCTGTGGTTGATTTTTTGTAAAAAATTGCTGTAAAGAATCCATATGAATTCTGAAATATCTTGTAAATTCCTCAAAAAGGCACTTTTAGTTTGTTTGCATAGCATAATTTTTTGTCACAGCTATGCAAAATTATAATTTTAGAAGTAATATGAAGGCATCATGTTATTAATTTCTTTGTTTCTGTCAAGTATTGATTTGTCCATTAAGCTTGTAAGTATTAGTTCAGGTTCAAGTGTAATTGAACTTCAAATTCAAAGTTAAGGACCAAGTGTCCTTAACTTTTGAACTTGTAAGTCAAAGTTCAGGAGCATGTGTCCTTAACTTTTGAACTTAAAACTGAAACTTCAGGACCAAGTGTCCTTAACTTTTTAACTTGAAACTCAAACTTCAGGACCAAGTGTCCTTAACTTTTGAACTTGAAAGTCTAAGTTCAGGAATATGTGTCCTCAACTTTTAAAATTGAATCCTTAACTTTTGAACTTGGAACTCAAACTTCAGGACCAAGTGTCCTTAACTTTTCAACTTGTAAGTTAAAGTTAAGGACTGCCTGTCCTTAACTCTTGAACTTGAAACTCAAAGTTAAGGACTGACAGTCCTTAACTTTTGAACTTTGAACTCAAAGTTAGGCCTGTAACTTAACTTTTGAACCTGTAAGTCAAACTTAAGGACTGCCTGTCCTTAACTTTTGAACCTGTAAGTCAAACTTAAGGACCGTCTGTCCTTAACTTTTGAACTTTGAACTCAAAGTTAAGGACTGTTTGTCTTTAACTTTTGAACTTTGTATTCAAAGTTAAGGAGTCCTTAACTTTTGAACCTGTAAGTCAAACAAAAGGACTGCCTGTCCTTAACTTTTAAACCTGTAAGTCAAACTTAAGGACTGTCTGTCCTTAACTTTTGAACTTTGAACTCAAAAGAAACAAAAAGAACGTAAGCAGAAAGAAATTTTGAAAATTCAGACATCTGCTCAAATAAGAATAATCTAAATGAATCCAATTTATAGCAAAAACTTAAAATAGTCGATAAACATAAGTGGATATATCTACTATTCTCTATGCTTTCTTGAAAATGGATGGACTGCCGGAGAATATATACAAGGTGTTCTATTATGACCAATTCTTATGCAACAATCACATTTGAATGTTATTTTTGATGACTTGGTAGCTGGAATATGCCTTTTCTTCTGCCTTCTACCTGGTGGCNAGATGGCGCCTAAGAGGTGGGGGCCGACCCATTGATATAATTGCTATGGTATGGCTGATGTCGCTACACCAGATGGTATCATTACAAGTACGATCTCGATGTGATTATAAAGTAACAATTTCATTAAATCGATTCGGTTCTGAGTATCGAGGCAAGTCCTCTTAATATTCTCCACTCATGAGTGAGCTTCATAATCCTGAAATCTACTTACGTGAATACTCATGTTGGGTTATTATATGGAGATAGCTATTTCTATCATTATGCGTTGGTCACTAAAAATAGTTGTGAGGCTAAAAGTGACTTTCTATTACTTACTACAGTGGGTTTTGATGTGATTTGAGGATAATTAAATTCAATTCTTAATTATATGCCCTATCGGTATGAGGGTTAATTATATATTGTGATTTTGTTTGACGAAAATTATTTAAAAGAAGAAAGAAAGGAAATGAAAAATTTCAGTTGGCATAATGTGCAAATACTTGTGATTCAGAGTTAAGGACGAGATCCTCACATTTTTTATATAATGTGAAATATTTTAAACTGGGCTACAAGCTGCTGTGGATGCTATACTCGTCGCAAGAACATGGTTTCGGGTTGATTATTGAGCCGGTTCGAGGTAAGTGGCTTGTCTAACCTTGCGTGGGGGACTCTCCCCTTAGGATTGGTATTGTGGTAATTGAAATGCCTTGTACGTGAGGTAACGAGCGCGTAGTTGTGCTAGTTGTTGAAAAATCCTATTTTCATTAAAAATAGCCTTAATTGTATTTTTCCTTTCTTGTTTACACTACTTGGAATTTAAGTATGTTGTTAGTCTAGAGAAGCATGTCTAATTGACTTAATTGATTTACTTGCTCAAAATGTCTTATTTGGATTATGTGCAACATGCTAGGCTAGAAATACCTGTTTTACCTTGATATGGAATTTGAATTAAATTGTGTATTCTTCGTGTTGTTGATGTTTGTTTATTTGGGACTACGGATGTGGTATTTCGGGAGATCCACCTTGTTTGTTTATTTGGGAGTACGGATGTGGTATTCCGGGAGATCCCCCTGTACAATTATATTTGGGACTACGGATGTGGTATTACAGGAGATCCCCCTGCACATTTATATTTGGGACTACGGATGTGGTATTCTGGGAGATCCCCTGCACACTTATATTTGGGACTACAGATGTGGTATTCTGGGAGATCCCCTTGCACATTTATATTGGGACTACGGATATGGTATTCCGGGAGATCCCCTTGCACATTTATATTGGGACTACGGATGTGGTATTCCGGGAGATTCCCCTACATATTTATATTTGGGACTACGGGAATGCACCTGGGAGATTCCCCTGCACTGAGTATTTACATTTGGGGATACAGGACGGGATCCTGGTAGACCTCCGGTTGTTATCTCTGCATTGAATTGTATTTTCCTTTCTGTTATTATCTGTCGTTGTTCTAGTTGTTGTTGTTCTTCTATTTTGGTTATCTCTTACTGTT